TGGCGACTACAAACATCGAGCTAATGTTCCTTCTTTCTCTTTTGAATTTTCAGCGAGCATAGACGAGGATATGGTTGCGTGGAAAGCATCGTCAGAAACTTTGATGGAACTGAAGCAGGGCCTGGTTTCTACGTTCACGGATAGCTTTGTCACACAGTTACTGGACACTCATAACGAGTATGCGAAAAATATGTTGGATCACAGCTTTGTGGAAGCCCTTGTCAGAAGGATCAAAAGGCTGCTGCAGTTTATAATTGTACAGTAACAGTTTACAATCGTACAGTAACTTTCAAATGTATAACATATTTTTTTACACCGTGTACAACCGCCAAAACTCTCAGCAACAGTATTTATTACAACAATCTGATAGATAGAAAATTATTCAGCGAATAATTTCCATACAGATACGATTTATTTTAAATTATCATATTAACATTCTCATAAATTGTTTTTATAAAATTGTTGGCATATATACATATGTATTATTTCGAGTTATCTGTTAAGCACAATAAATATATAAAATATATTTCCATAGTTACGTTCCGTTGCTATGTTAATTACGCTGTGTAATAATAAATTAAATATCCAAATAAGTATTTACAACATTCCGTTTCTTCGATCTACGATTGAGGATGTTAGAATAAAGAGAAGGAAATATTGACGTTAGTGTTTTCTAAGAAGTAATGACAGCCTCGTCCCATGGCCCGTAAATGTTGTCCTTGTACTTCTGGCATCTTACGTACCAATAAGGGCAAACAAAATGTAAGAATATTATAGTTGCAACAAACACGTAGGACAAGGTTTGCGAAACCAATAGGAGGAAATACAATGCGCTTAACGTTAAGAAACCTGAGGTCAGTATCTTGCTATTTAATTTATACATTAGAAATGGCAACAAAACGAAACACTGAACAGAAACTGTAAGGAGAGAGAAAGCATGCAACGGAGATGCTAGTCTGGACGCTAACATCAAGGAGCCAAATATCGAGGACGTTATGGACAAAGAATCGGACAGCGAGATCTGCAACGGGCCGTACTTGCTGAATATCAAATGTACCAGAAACATTAGTATCGCCATGGCGTAAATCGTGTCCGTGCTGATGGTTTCTGTCAAAGTTTTCAAAACCGGCGACAGGATATAACCAAACGTAAGAAAGATCAACACGGTTCTAACATGTTTTGTAAACTCTGTCAGGGTGCTTGGCTCCTTTAAACAGTATACGAAGTAACCGATTATTGTGTGTATCACACCGAGTATGAATATGACATTGGGGCTGGCCCATTCGTTGTACAGCCAAATAAATATGATGACGAAAAGGATGACGATATTCAGTTGAGTGCACACGGTGCCGCCGAATGTTATTGCTTCGATTAATGTCACGTTGTTCGGCTTGATATTTCTGCGTAATTGCTCCAAGAACGAACTGTCCGTGTAATTGTCTGGCAGCCCGTAATTTTCGTACAAGTTCTTCTGCCATTGTAACCCTACCGTCATAGTGTATTCTGTTATTTAATTCGATCAACAGAACATGAAGTGTTTGATTCTCGTTCATTTAAATAACAGGTTGTAAGCCTTGGTGTTATCACGAGACGATAGTTAAAATCTCGTTCGTAACTTCGTGTCGTCTCCGCCTGATTTTTGTTCCTCGCATGACGTACTGGAAAAGAAATAAAAATTAACTCTAATTAACTCTAAAAGCACGTTTCGTCGTCGTTCTGAATAAACGACAAGTAATGTAATTGACTGAACGTAACGACTATCAAGCCATACGTTTTGACGGAAAGAGGTTACTGAGAGACTCACATTGCCGCAGCTCTAAAATCTAAAACCACGTATCTCCGCGAGTAACAGTATTAGTTATCGCTAGTTTGAATTGCCCAATCGCTGATCGAATTAAATCTACGATATAACTGATATTATTACGGACGGATCGGTTTCCCTCTGTGCTGTTTATTTTCCAAGTAACCAATAAACAGTATTGCCGCAGATGTTAATTTTGTGTAATGAAGAAGTGCGTGGCGGAGATGTGACATTGAATTTCAAATAATTCAAACGTGATCTATTTTAAATGGAATGCTTCGTTTACACTTTGCTTAGATGTGTGTATATAAGTAAATAAATTATTGTTCTATGTACGTGAAATAATATAACATTAATAATGTGTAATACATGGTCTATTTTATAATGTTTTAATGTTTCAGAACAAAGTTGTTGGTACGTTTCATAGGTAGGGCAAAACAGTAAATATAAAAATGCAGAAATTCAAACGAGCTCAAGCAGAAAACAAACTAGCAATTAGCAAGCATTTAGAAGCAAACGCCCATTTGGAATCCTCCAGTGAGGATGAGGATGACAGGGGCGAGGAGAATATGCAAAATGTTATTGGAAAGATATTGTCTGCTTATCAAGGCGAGGAGGCAGATGCAGAAAAGATCTTGTCATATTTAATTAATATCTTCCAATCTGGCAATGCTGTTTGTTTAATATGTATCTCAACTGTGAAAAGAGCAGATCCGGTATGTTCTTCTAAAGCTGTGTGAACTCTCATAAACTTTACATAAAGTTTGCCATTTTATAAAGTATGCCCCAGTCAATTCGTGTTAATATTGTAGATTTGGAATTGCAACAAATGTTTTGCTTTTCTACATCTGTCTTGCATTTCGCGTTGGATACAGGATAGCATGAATGTTAAACGTGAGAAGGGTATCGAGCCAACATGGGCATGGTAAGAAATTTTTCAAAAACGTACCGTTATGTTAACGATATGATATGTTTATTTAAATGTCATATATAATCATGTTTTAGTCCAAAATGTCGTATGGAATACAAGGAAGATGACTGTCCTCGTAAGTATAAGTGCTTCTGCAAAAAAACTATAGATCCTCCATATAGCCCATGGAACATTCCGCATTCCTGTGGAGAGACATGCAACAAACTGTTACAGCCAGAGTGTGGCCATAAATGTGTTTTACTTTGCCACCCTGGGCCATGTCCTCCTTGTGCAAAGACAGTATCCATTAAATGCTACTGTGGCAAACAGGCGCCTCAACAACGACGATGCAATGCCAAAAACTGGAGTTGCGGCACTGTATGCAACAAAAAGTACGAATCATGTTCGCACACTTGCAAGGAAGTGTGTCATTCAGGGAAATGCCCACCTTGTTCAGAGATACTATCGCTGGAATGCCACTGCAAGAGTAACAAGGAATTAAAGCGATGCTCAGAAGGCTCGTGGACCTGTGACAAACCTTGTGGCAGACCCTTTTCTTGCAACGTTCACACCTGTGAAGGTCAGTGTCATTTAGACGACGACTGCGGAACCTGCCCACTGGAGAAGAACAGAACATGTCCATGTGGAAAGAAACGTTACGCCGTTTCATGCAACCAGGAACAATTACCAACGTGCGGAGACACATGTGGAAAGTTATTGAATTGCGGCTCGCATTACTGCAACATGAGATGTCATATGGATCGTTGTGGACAGTGTTTGGAAGTAGTCACAAAGTCTTGTAGATGCGGCAGCTACAAAAAGGAGATCGCTTGTGGCAAGAAGTTTAATTGCAACAAGAAGTGCGTGCAGATGCGTCTGTGCGGGAGGCATTCGTGCAACAAAAAATGTTGCGACTGTCTGATCAAAAATACGTACAACGCTTGCGAGAAGGTATGCGATAACACTTTGAATTGTCGCAAGCACAAATGTGCTGCCCCTTGTCACAGTGGCCCTTGTTATCCGTGCGCACGAACCGACGTTGTTCAATGTAGATGTGGATACAACAAGATAACGGTGCCGTGCGGTACGAAAAGGATCAAGCCACCACCTTGCAATAGGCCGTGCAAAATACCGCCGATCTGCCATCACTCGAAACGAGAAACTCATAAATGTCACCAAGGCTACTGTCCACCCTGCAAAAAGTTATGCGGCTTGGTATACAGACGATGTGGTCATTCTTGCGTCACTGTTTGTCACACAAAAGTTTGGATGAAGGTAGGCAAAAGTGACGTGAAAGTGCAACCAGCAGGGCCGTGGGACGTTCAGAAGGAAACTATGCAGCTGAAAACGTTGGCATGTCCGCCGTGTAAAGTCTCTGTGCCAGTTACATGCTTAGGAGGGCACGAGACACGTTCGTGGGCCTGTCATGAAGCCAAACCTATCTCATGTGGAAGATTGTGTGGGAAAACGTTACCGTGCAAAAATCACACGTGTGAATTGATTTGTCATAAAGTACCGTCTTCCGAGGAAACTAAGAATGGCACTCCGTGCATGGACTGTGAGAGTTCGTGTCTACTTCCACGGCCGCCAGGTTGCATGCATTTATGCCCCAGGCTTTGCCATCCCGCGCCCTGCAATCCCTGCAAACAGATAGTTAAAACTCCGTGCCATTGCGGAATAAGTATCATATACCGTAGATGTTTCGAATTAACATCAGCCACAATTGAAAAACGCAATGAATTACTCAAGTGTGGGAATCAGTGCCCTAAAAATGTAACTAAGTTCTTAGATCAATATGTCAACTAGTATAATAGTCTAATTTTAAATATCCACTTTTTTAATTGGTCACCATTTCGGTTTTAGTATCCATGTGGACATCGATGCGCGAACGAGTGCCATCCAGGTCCGTGCAGAAACGAGAAGGAATGCAGCAAAAAGATGAAGTTGTTTTGCGAGTGCAGACGGATTAAGAAAGAGTTTGTCTGTTCCGTGGTGCAGAAGGAGGGGATTTCGATAAAGTGCGATGACGTTTGCATGAAACTGAAAAACGAAAGACGCCAGGCCGAAGCTGCCTTGCTGGAGCAGAAACGACGAGCGGAGGAGATGCGCAATCAACAAGAGATAGAGAAGTTCGAGCGAAAGTTCAAACCTCGTCGTAAGGGGAAAGACAAGTCCGATAAGAAACCGTCACAGAACGAGATGCGCGGTAACTACGGGAGATATTGGATTTTAGGCGTGTTTATATGTTTAATAGCCATTGTAATATTTTATGCAACCGTTGGACAGTCGTGAAAATCTTGAACTTCATGCTCACGACGTTTCGTAGTCGCTGTCATGAACGTTAGGCTATACTTTTTTATTCTAACGTAACGTAATATCCAGTTGTTTTAAACTGTTTTCTATCGACCGGCGTAAGACAATGATTCGGTCTGTCGAATCTTTGTCGCAATCTGTATCTCTGTCATAGTGTCGCTAGGTCCAAAGAGTTTTCAATTACATTTTTTGTAAAATTTTTCTACATTGTACGTCTGACGCTCAGCAAAATTGCGAGGAAATGTTAAATATTGTATTATTTTGACACGGAATAATACGTCAATATCGTATGTTATTGTAACGTACGATAATAATCAAAGTATCTAAGATTGCTTATTTGTAGTTTATCTTCCTTTAGCCCGCCAATTGATTCAAAAATGGGCACCTCCAGGGTGCCATCTAGCTCTGAGAAGTCGCTATACTTTTCAAATAATCATTTAGAGGTTAGTTCGTGTTTCAAAAATTTTGTTTGTGTTTACACGGAGAAAAAGAGAAAAAAATTAAAATGGCAGTTCCATCCGTTTCGCTATCGACGAGAAACAAAAAACATTTCCTGGGTGTTCCAGCACCCTTGGGATATGTTGCTGGCGTTGGAAGAGGGTAATGTATAAAAAGCAATGTTATTCAGCTAACCTAACCTCTTTTAACGAAACAGAACATATTAACACACGGCGTTAACGCCTTACCTTTTAGAGCTACTGGATTCACAACCAGATCTGACATTGGTCCAGCTCGCGATGCGAATGACGTTTCGTAAGTAACTTATGTTCAATTCTTTTCATCAGTTTGATTAAACTTGATAGTACTTCGTACCAATGTTTCATTAATATTGTTTTATGAACACTTAGAGATGACAGACATGCTCCGCCTACGAAAAGAACAAAGAAGAAAGAAGAGGAGGAAGAAGACGAAGAAGACTTGAATGATTCCAATTACGATGAATTTTCTGGTTATGGAGGATCTCTGTTCAGCAAAGTAGGAATAAAGAATGGAGATTGGTATTAAACGATTGTAATTCCGCAGTTCAATTTATTGAATCATCAAACACTCTGTAGGATCCTTATGACAAAGACGACGAGGAGGCCGATGCTATTTATGAGGCGATTGACAAACGAATGGACGAAAAGCGCAAAGAATACAGGGAAAAGAGGCTGAGAGAAGAGTTGGAAAGGTATCGTCAAGAACGTCCTAAAATACAGCAACAGTTCTCAGACTTGAAGAGGGAATTGGTAAACGTAACCGAGGAAGAATGGAAAAATGTTCCAGAGGTTGGCGACGCTAGAAACCGGAAGCAACGAAATCCTCGGGCAGAGAAGTTCACGCCACTGCCGGACTCGGTTCTCGCGCGGAACTTAGGTGGCGAAACATCAACCAGCATAGATCCGTCGAGTGGTTTGGCCTCGATGATGCCAGGCGTAGCAACACCTGGGATGTTAACGCCGACAGGAGACTTAGATTTAAGAAAAATTGGACAGGCTAGAAACACTTTAATGAACGTGAAATTGAATCAGGTTTCCGACTCTGTTGAGGGACAAACTGTTGTAGATCCCAAGGGTTATCTTACCGACTTGCAGAGTATGATACCGACGTATGGCGGTGATATCAAGTAAGTAATCTCGTACCTCAATGCTAATTAGGATTTAACAAATTTGTATCTATCTGTAATTTAATTTTAGCGACATTAAGAAAGCCAGATTGTTGTTGAAATCCGTGAGGGAGACGAATCCTAATCATCCACCAGCGTGGATCGCCTCTGCTCGTTTAGAAGAAGTCACTGGGAAAGTGCAGGCAGCGCGAAATTTAATAATGAAAGGCTGCGAAGTGAATCCTACGTCGGAAGATCTGTGGTTGGAAGCGGCTAGGCTGCAACCGCCAGATACAGCTAAAGCGGTGATCGCTCAATCGGTGCGGCATATACCGACATCCGTTAGAATATGGATAAAAGCAGCGGATTTGGAAATCGAGACAAAAGCGAAGAGAAGAGTGTATCGCAAAGCATTGGAGCATATCCCAAATTCAGTGAGACTGTGGAAAGCTGCAGTGGAGTTGGAAGAACCGGAAGACGCGCGAATTTTGCTTAGCCGGGCAGTCGAGTGTTGTCCAACAAGCGTTGACTTGTGGCTTGCTCTCGCTCGATTAGAAACCTACGACAATGCCAGGAAAGTTCTTAACAAAGCAAGAGAAAATATTCCAACGGATAGGCAAATTTGGACAACAGCCGCGAAGCTGGAAGAGGCGAACGGAAACAAACATATGGTGGAGAAAATCATCGATCGCGCGATATCTTCTTTGAGCGCGAACGGGGTGGAAATCAATAGAGAACACTGGTTTAAAGAAGCTATGGAGGCTGAAAAGGCTGGCGCAGTACACACCTGTCAGGTTATTGTTAAAGCGATCATTGGTTTTGGAGTGGAGGAAGAGGACAGGAAACATACATGGATGGAAGACGCCGAGACCGTAATATTTTACACTTTTTTATTTTTATAATAATAAACTAACTATTTTCGAATTTTATATTTCTGTTTATCGTTACACGACCAATTGCTTATTTCATTTATGATTTTAGTGCGCTCAACAAGGGGCACTGGAATGTGCTAGAGCAGTCTATGCTTATGCGTTATCAACATTCCCCAGTAAGAAGTCCATTTGGCTGCGCGCAGCTTACTTTGAGAAAACTTATGGCACACGAGAGTCTTTAGAGTCTTTGCTTCAAAGAGCGGTTGCCCACTGTCCGAAGAGCGAAGTACTTTGGCTCATGGGTGCAAAGTCGAAGTGGTTAGCTGTAAGTGAAACTCACCAAAAAGTGAACTCTCGCGAAAGCGTCGTTTACTATGTGTCTTCTCTTGTTTCAAGGGCGATGTTCCAGCAGCGAGAGGTATTTTATCACTCGCGTTTCAAGCGAATCCAAATTCTGAAGAGATTTGGCTAGCAGCTGTGAAACTAGAATCAGAGAATTCTGAGTACGAGAGAGCTAGACGATTGCTCGCGAAAGCGAGAGCATCTGCACCAACTCCTAGAGTGATGATGAAGAGCGCGAAATTAGAATGGGCTTTGAACAATCTCGACGCGGCGTTACTGCTTCTGAAAGAAGCCCTAGAAGCATTCGATGATTTTCCGAAACTGTGGCTAATGAAGGGACAAATCGAAGAACAACAAGGAAATTTAGACAAAGCTTTGGAAACATACAATCAAGCTGCAAGTCTTCTTATTTTCTTTTCTGTTTGTTAAGTAATTTTAATTTTAGGCATTGATGTCTTTATTTGTTTTATAGATCAAAAAATGTCCCAATTCTATACCATTGTGGCGTTTACTGGCACAGTTGGAGCACAGAAAGGGTCAAGTTACCAAAGCCAGGTCGGTTTTGGAGAAAGCTCGCTTAAAGAATTTAAAGAACCCAGAGCTTTGGTTGGAAGCTATCAGAAATGAATTGAAAACTGGCGGTGTCAGAGACATGGCAAACACACTCATGGCGAAAGCGCTTCAGGAATGTCCAACATCTGGCTTACTTTGGGCAGAGGCGATCTTCATGGAACCTCGGCCACAAAGAAAGACAAAAAGTGTCGATGCTTTAAAAAAGTGCGAGCACGATCCACACGTGCTTCTTGCAGTATCCAAGTAAATGATCAACAACTTGTCACGATATTTTTGCAAATTAAAACATGGATTATTTCGATGAATTTTTATTATTTTAATCATTATTTTACAGATTATTCTGGTGTGAGCACAAAATTTCAAAGTGTCGAGATTGGTTCAATCGTACGGTGAAAATAGATCCAGACTTGGGAGACGCGTGGGCATATTTCTACAAGTTTGAACTTTTAAACGGGACGGAGGAGCAACAAGAAGACGTGAAGAAAAGATGCATTGCCGCGGAACCTCACCATGGTGAAAATTGGTGTAAAGTATCAAAGAATATAGCAAACTGGTGTCTAAGTACTGATCAAATCTTGGTATTAGTTGCAAAAGATTTACCGATTCCAATATAATTAATAAAGTAATTTAAGTGAATTTAAGTGAATATTGTGTATATATATATATATATATCTATTTTCTAAAAACTAGTTATTAATTATAACAGTAGAATAAATGATGTTCTAAATCAAGAAGAATTCTTTGAAACTTTATACACACACGCACCCGCAATTTAATTTAAATATATTTAAATTTTGGATTTTTTTAAAGTTTATTTTATTATGTTTTATTATGTAACCAATAGAAAACTCGTTAACTACAGATGAGATATAGAACTCTATGCACATCATCTACTCTATAGTTAAAACAATTCTCAACTATTAAATTCAACTAGAAATTCGCACTGGTAATATTAACATGTTTATATGTACGTCTATTTGTTGTAGCTCTGTTTGTTAAATTCTCCTGTTCAGATCTAAAATACATTTGACAACTAAGTGATCCGTGCTCATTCGGTTAATAAATACCTTTGCTTCAATATTCTATAAAATACATTTCTTGCTATACCAAAGGTAACATTTATACTACATTTATTATGTTTATTTATCTCATTTATTATGCTTATTTATTACATTACAGTTACAAATATATTACATCTTTTAGTTTACAGAAATATCCAGTACGTTTTTGTAATTAGCATACCTATTTAATCCAGACAAAAGATGAAACTTTTCATTGAGAAGTACCATAATGAACAGTGTTGCTTCTTCCTTAAATAAACCAATTTTCCCGAATATACCGCGGTATCTCGGAGCGTTAGAAACACCGAACGCGAGACTGCCCATATGACGAGCAGCTGGGATAACTGCGAGATGAGTCATTCCAGCTCTCGTCAACCCCTAGAACGTCCTTCAGTCTCGCTCGCTTTCCATTGTTCCAGAAATAACAACGGCGCATTCCTCCGGTACTTTTGCTTACGTGCAACAGCGATAATCCAAATAATCCAGGACTAATAAATTGCTACCAAAAGAAAAAAAAAAGTCATACCAAGAAGTCATATCGATACAAGCATGATCTAATCAGTGTAAATACTGAAGTATCGAAAGTGAGTTTACGCTTGAAAAACATGGAACTTTTTCGTGCGTCGAATGCGAGATCACGCTCGCCGCGAAGGGTGAGTCAGCCACCCTCCTGATGACGGTCAAGGAGACCATTGGAGGAAGTGTTCGACGTATGGGAGGGAGGAACTCGGTAGAGGAAGGGGAATGAAATCGGTGGTACGCGATTGGTTGATATTCGGGGTCGGAATTCGTGGTGGGGGTTTAGAACAGCGGCGAGCGTAGAACCGGCAGAAAGAAGAGAGTGGAAGAGCGGTTCGCCGGTGTTACCTGGTGTTACGTGTCGCACGGGAATCACTAGCCGGTTAGTCAGTGTACTGTCTCCATCCTGCCCTTGAACGTTTCGCTGGAACGGTGTTTGCGCTTGCCTACCTCTCGAAGTGACAACTGACAGGTTAGTGCTCTTTGTCACCGGCGTACTCCATCGACGATCGTTCGAATTGCATGCAAACTATTCGTACGGCTGAAAAGGCCATTCTCCGGTTCGAGGAACGAGTCGGTTTCCTTTGTTGTAGTTAAAAAGAAGGAAAAGAAAAGTCAACATCGTGCACCGTGTGCATACGCTTGCACGTTCGTTTATTTTTCTTTTTTTCCTTTTTTTTTTTTTT